GAGGACACGGTAAGGTAAGTACACTGGGCGATAGACTATGCAAATTAAGGGAGAGTCTGTATGAAGAAAGGTATGATCATGATCATTAGGAAAAGGAATCATCATTATTTCAGTGGAAGTGTACCATGTTGAACAATTGACCTGAAGTAGAATAAAGAGTTGATTGGTAATGTAAAGTAAGAGGGATGGAAATTTTGAGTTTATTAGTCAGAACTGCTTGTATGAGGAAATTATTCTTCAATTTATTTACAGTCTTACAAAAGCACAAAGGTTAAATTTTTGAATTTAGTCTGAATTCAAGTCTGAAAACTGATCACTATCGTTTTGAAGGTGTTAAAAAGTTTTGCATGGATTTTCTAGGGTTCTATCCGTAAAAAATTTTTTCACAGAAAATGAAAAAAGGGCAAGGTTTGAAGGAGTAAAATGAAGAGTCCAAGGAATGTTATTTTGAAAAACAGATACGAAAAGTATTTATTTTAAACAGAAGCAAACAAAACACGCAAAATAAACGTCAGGGATATGTGTAACATTCCAGGGAACATGAATCCTCTTCAACTTATTGAAGTTTTGCAATCATTAATTGTAATTAGACATGGAAGAATGTCCCGTCGAAAAGGTAAGTGATAAAGTGGTGAATGCGACATCAATTGAATGTTGTATTATCAATGACGATATTGCAGTAAGCTCATGCTAACTTCTCACTAACGCATAATATTTGGAAGCAACTGATTAGTTCGAAAGCTTAACTTATCTTAGGTTATTATTGGGAAAATACATAAACCCATCACCTGGGAATTAGTAAATGATTCTCGAGAGTCATTATTTTGATGAACTGTCCGAACATTCAATGTGATGACCCTTAGATTTCAATTTTTGCAAAATGTACTCTAATTTGTGACCTGTTTAACGTCACTTGTTTTCGTTCCAGATTTAAATAACCATCGCACGATAGTTCTTTTAGCCTGACTTGAGGCTATGAGCATTTCATTTCATATTTTAGAGGCTTATTGAAACGCTTATAAATGTAAAGGTTGAGAATCTCGTATCATATTTAGCAGTTTTTTTTTGTTCTTGTAAAATCTCTCCATCGTGTTTCAACTTTTTTCCCTTTCGTTTTTTAACTTTTATTGGTTCCTTTTGTAAAGAATGGTGCTGGTAGTGGGTGGAAGCCATTTAAAACTTTTCAAAATCGATCATAGTGTCTGTGCTTGGGAAGTAAAAAGTGGGTGTTGTGTGATGTGGGTAGAGGAGCAGTATTCATTCCATGGATCGCATTTTTTGAAACACTTTTTGTCCCCCCCTTTCCCCGATATTATTCAAACATTCTCATACTGAGGGAGAGGGTACCTATCGCCCATCACCCCCTACCGTCGACAACGACAATTTCATTTTCGAAATACATGTGTGCGCACAAAAAACCGGTCATCATTATCCAGCCAACCTGCTAGTAACCATTCTTATTCATCGAGCTGTTGTTGTCAGCCATAAACCTTCTGAAGGATTTGATATTGATTGAATTACTAAAGCAAAATTTTGGACGCTGTTGCTAATTTGAAATTTTCTAAGTTAAAAATTTTGAAATTGCGAATTGATAAGTTTTGGGAACCCAAAATTATAACTTCAATTTTCTGACAAATTTCTTTGAATGAAGACGATGAAAATTTTCACAGTCATTCTCTTCAAGCTTTGTAAGTAGAATTTTGAAGCAAGAAGTTCTATCAAGTTTGTCCTTCGTTTCCTTGAGACAAAAATAAAATGCTAAAACTCAAAATGCCTTCTATTTAAGTCACTACTTACTACAGTCATTTAAAATTTTTTAAAACTAATGGCAGCATTTTCCGAATAAATAAATTCACTGTTCAATTTGCAAAAAGAGATTTCAAGTTGATTCAAAGAAAAGGCGCGCGCGCCATCTCCTCAGTTTCACGTTCTTTGTGTTACTTCTAAATTCTGTTTCAATATTTCCAGTTTCAAATTGATGGACGAAATTTTGATTGCACTAGCTGTAGCCACTAGCCAATCCATATCTTAGAGTGCCGCCTTCCGAAAACTGGATATAAATAGAATTGAAATTTTTATGACAGTATGACAAATGCCAACATTGGGGTGACATTGACATGATTGGATCATAATGGTTGGATGAAGGTGAAAATGGAAGAGTGGGTTAATATATGTGATTGATTTGGGAAAAGATTTCATCAATACCTTACTGACAGAGAAAATGGATTTCACAAAGGAAATTGTTTCATTTGAAAACAATAACTTGAAAAGATATTCAAATATTAAGTATTGGTAACCGGTAAAGGAATGAAAATTCAATTAGCTGGTAATAATTAAGAAAAAATTTAATCGCTAATATTTGTAGAAGCCGCTTTAACAGTAATATAATGATCAAAAATTGTGGATGATTTTTTCAACGATGTCATTCATCTCATTCTCTTTAGCAAGAATTTGGTTCAATTTACATTTCCCTTTCCATCTGCATAGCACATTTTGTGATTTGCTTGGGTCAACTTAGAAATGACTTGATTATATTGTAAATAATTCAGTTCAAATGAATGATTCAATAATTTGGAAGCTATGTGACAGTCTCTAAATTTCCCTAATTCGTGCAAAGATAATGTGTGAAATGATATTTCCCACCATATTACGGTAATACAATTGGAATGTGTTGAACTCCGAAAGTGTGTAAATAAAAAGTTGTCATACGCATACATCTACAAGATATAAACGGTACGGTATATATCAGTCATTATGGCAATAAGCAAATAGAAATTATTCATAGCGCATGTGAAGGAAATATTCGCGGATGCTTTGAACTCTATCCCAGTATGCTACTACTTCTTTCGTTTTGACAAATAATAATGATTATTATCCTTGGAAGAGATGGATTCATTCCACGAGGATACCACGATTCGAGATTGTCCAGGAGTAAACGAAAAAGAACTTTCCATCTAATTGCTATTTTATTTATCTCGGAAGTTCTTACTCATTTAGCTCAAAAACATATATCATAATAAAACTTTCGAAAGTTTTTCGGGTTAATTAAAGTGAGACAAAAAATTTGAATTCCATTTAGCTCCTAAAATTGAAAGATTATGAAGAGATAAACGAAATTCGACAAATATTTGATAAAATTTGGTAATTGAACAATTTGCCACCTAATTTGTTATGCTATAAAAAGTTTAAGTCAAAAAAATAGGATGAAAGAAGTTTTTGAAAATGTTCCATTTGACTGATTACTAACCTTCAACCTTCATCCCACGTTGTATACATTTTTGAAATCGACAATGAGGACATCTTTTTCGACACGATTTATCCACAGCACAGTTCTGGTCCGCTGAGCATTGATATGACTGAAATCGGATTTTTGGAAACCGGGGCTTAGTAAACATTTCGAAATTCCTGTAGTAATAATTAAACCTCATTCAATAACAGTGCTTAATAATTCCGTACACAACAAGTGTTTTTTTAAATCGCAAAATCAAACCATTTTGATGATTTTGTACAAAATAAATATTTTTCTAACTTTCCACTACCTTAAGGGTTTTCATCCGAGAACATATAGGGTAAAACAGAATTCGTTCTATTATAAATTTATCAATTTCTCAGAGAAGAACAGGGCTGGAAGTTCACGAAGAGTTTTTACTTAAAACTTTTTTTTTCAATTTTAATACTAAATTATTTAAAAAAAACGAATGAAAAAGGAACCTTTTTGTTTTGTACTGTTCGCTTAAAAAAGCCCTGAAAATTGAGCGTTTTATTTTCCAAAAAGTACAACATGCGAAAATTTGGAATTTTAAGCACAAAATGATAGAATACCAAAATGGTTGTCTCTCTTAGCTTTCTGCAAAATATATGAATCAAGCCATAGAATAGAGAAGCGAAATAGATGGTTGAAAATGAATATCATTTACAAAGGAGAAATTTTCTACAGTCCATGAAGAAGCAAAGATCTGGTGGTAATCAGTTCAACTCTAATAGAATAAATTCTGTGATGGGAAAATTTAGAAATGGTTCAAAAGCGACATGCTGCCATTGAATTGTGTATGAGGAATGAGAGATCAGATGAAACGAAAACAGTTTTATGATAGGACTTTGTTTATGGTTAAGAAATGTCCGAAAGTTCAAAATCTTTCAAATAATACGCAGAAAATAAAATTCCATGGGCAAACACGATTATATTACAAGGATAAGCATTTCGAATGAGCATAGAAACAGAGCTTGGTGATTGATGATTGGTTGAAATGAAGCATTATTGCTTCTGCACATGCTGCTGTGGGATGGTTTTGAATGCGATTACGGTATTATGTAAGAATTAAGGAAATTGAGAATCTTAGTGTAATATCAAATTTTCGAATTGAGAAGAAATCGAGAATATGTTGCATTAAGTTGTCCTTAATTAAAATAACAGGAAGGATGCTATGACTTAGCTAAATCTAATTGCTTCACTGTTAACTGAGCAACAATTTAAATCTATGTTTTGATGTTATCATGGCATAAGGGTATATTCATAAAGCATGTCATCATATAATACCAGAATTGATATTAGTAATATTTCCATGAAATAATTATGATATCATCAAATGATTTGAAGAATTATGAAAGTTATGCGAACCTTGCACGATTCGCAGGTGAGCAATCCGTAATGGTACCCGGACACGCGATCCCCACAAACCGGACAGTTTTCGTATTCGATTTGCGGCTTACAGTTCAGATCGTCCAGCTTCAAGGCCGTTTCAATGCCAACCATGATGGCAATCGTTGCCGCTGATTTGCTCGGCGCTCCGGCCTTCGTTGTCACTCTTGTAATGCTGCGTTGACCTTGCTACCAACACACAAATAAATACACACACACACACACACACGCACCGAAGACCGTGGCAGACAGCGGCCTGTACCTTTATGATAGGTGAGCTGCTACTGTTGCAAGCAGCCGCACCGAATAGTTAAAGCAATTGCAGTATGACCGGAAAGCCGACAGCACATTTCACGGAATTATGAGAGGAATTGGAGGAACGTCGTTGAGTGAACGAAATCTGAGGTATCCAGGAGAGTGTCAAGTCAGCAGGTAGTAACAGTTCTCATCACAAGCAACGATTCATCATCCTGCAAAAGTGGGTGGTACCTGATGCATGCCGTCGTATCAAGCAGTTAGCGGACGCGCATACAGAGACAAACAATACAGACCCGATCTGATGCATGCACCTCCTTCAGTTAAGCTTCTACATCCTATATTGCTCATCCATGCCTTCTTGCAATTAACAGACAAGTTGGAAGGGGTGGAGACGGGTTGGAGTGGGGCGGTAATGCAACTCAGAGACCACCGTATTGGTGAACAGAAGTGTCACTGGGTTGTGACAATTGTGCTTGAAAAGAGAAGAGTTGGTTAAGTCGCCCTGGGACAGTTGAAATCACTGGGCAGCAACAGTACTGCCATCGTCAATAGGTCGAGAATTCTTCTCATCCATTGGAAATCAAACTGCAAGGGAAGAGAAATGCATAAATACAGGTTGATGCATGCAAATGTTTGGTGTGCATGAGTGGGCACCACAATGTCACCTATTCCAACCAAAATTTTCAACACTCATAGCTTCAGCGATCGGCTTTTGCCAATAGATGGGTACCTGAGTGAGTGGGTAGCTGAATAGATGGATGGATAGTGAAAGAAAAGGAAAAGGAAGAGGAAGTAGTAATGATAGTAATAAACTCGTCGGAGAATTACGTAGGGTAGGAGAAAATGGGAAGAGTGACGGTTGCTCTCGCTTGTGGTAGTGAACTGTCACTGTCACCGTGTCCCAAATATCGCGGGGTCAAGGCCTTCGTCGTTTCCTACCTGAAGGAGGAGAATAATGCTTGATAATACTGACGGCAACAACAATAACGACGAAATGTGAATGACGATCCCATCCGAACGTTCCCGAACGGAACAGATTCATGGCCTTCAATAACAGCGATTAAAAATTTATTATTGGATGAAAAAAAGGTTTTTGCAGGAAATATATGACAACACTTGGATGTTATATCAAATAGACTGAGAAGACTTGTTGCAGATATGAAATTTAAAAGGACTATCAGGAATAAAATGATAGAAATTTTTGATGTTGAAAAATATGATACGAGAATATGGGTGAAGGCCTTTCAAAAGCGAAAAAATGTGATACAAAGATGTGGGTGATGGCTTTTCTGAGCAAATTTAATTATGATTGAACCGTAAATTTATTGACCTTGGCAAGTGGGGTCATTCATTGCATAGAGAAAAAAGAAGGTAGTAGATCAGGTTAGGGTCGGAGTTGGAATGGGGGACAAACCTTCGACCTCGAAAAGACGAGGGATAAATAGGCAAAGTTACATGTATTTGTATATATCGAGGCCAAGGTTTCAATAACCTTCACGACTATCGTCCAACTTTCTTTTTTCCGGCCTTCAGTTCAGTCATTGCACGATCAGCAACTCGACGATATCAACTCAATCTCTACGATGCATTGTCTTTGGTACAACTTCCATTATAGTTATCGTTTAAACAAGCATTTGTTCACTAATTCATCTGCAAGGTTCCATTTCTATAAAGACTAATTTAATTTACAAATACTCTGGTAAAAATTATTGGCATCGATGGTTTAATTGTTTAATGAAGAAGTTATAAAACAAAAATGTGAAAAATTTGCATTGTTTGAAATATATGCGACAGCAATGGAATTTTATTTCGAAAAATGTCTCTAAGATCTTTGAATCTAACAGGCTTAACTTATCATACTTATATGAACTAATACTGTAAACCTCAGATCTTCTTATCAAATTGACACAGAATTAGTTATTGTTTAAGACAAACTTGATAAGCAATTATTGATTGACTATCATTTACTTTAGAACATCAATTAAATAAATTGTAATTTACACGTCATAATCACTGTCCTAAATCATGGAAATTCTGTCTGCTACCAGACAGAATTTCTTTTACCATAAAATTATTAAATTGATTATTACTCTTATTGCATTTTAATCGTTTTGTTGTCGCATGCGAATTTCAAAATTCTTGTATGACCGTAAACAGGAAAACATTAATTCCTTTATTTATTCTGTATTCCTTTCAGATATTTGCATATTCTTGATAGATGTATTAAACTGATGTGCTTTATATATCAGAATGATTCAATTCGTTTTAAAACTGCAATGACGAGTGATTATTTCAAACTGATTATTTAAGATAATTGTATTGGCTTATTTAACCCTCGCTAAGTTATAAAAAGGTCTCATTGGAAACTTATAATTTGCTATTTTATTTTCTCCCGCATTCAGAATGTTTTTGGAAGTTAACTAGAACCAGCTTAAAATTCAGTACCCATGGTGACAGCGAAAGAATGGAATGATGATTGTCGTCTGGATGACCAATAAATCGTCTCTCATTCTTATTTGAAAAAGGAAATTTGTGCATTCTCTGATCTTTCTTCAAAATCGAGTTTTTTCTTGCATTTCTTAATTGACTGTTTGAAATATCATTTCTGAAGTTGGAGCTTTTAAAACATGAATTTTCCGAAGAAATGCTTGAAGATCAAAAAAGCAGATTTTAACTAACTTTCCACCTCATAAATTTCAATTTTAGATAGTTATTATCATAAATCCATCCTCTCCAACTTTCGCTTTTGGATTCTTAATTTTAAAACTGATATGAATGAAGATCGAAATGATTAAACGGAAATGAAAGTCACTTTGTAGGTATCTTCCTATACTTATAATTGTGTATCATCGGCATTTAGCATCTCATAAATTTATATATTTTTACGATGAATTGACCTATCGTTACGACAGGTCTAGTATGAACAAAAAAAATAAGTGAATTAGTAAATAGAAGGTAGACAAAGGAGGCAAAAAATCACGCATTTTGTGGAAGGTCATCATTGGTTTTCAATTATCGCAAAAAGTTAGTTCATTCAGTTTGCACCCAATCAACCAATTTGTTCTTCTTCCCTTCCTTGACCTTCCTCGTTCAACAAATTATCTAACTATACACTTATTATGATGAGCAATTATCTCTTTGACTATTCCACCAAAACTTCGACATCAAAGTATGAAAATAGATACTAAAATATTTTTTCTTCTCCTGAAATTGAATTCATTTTCAAAAAGAATGATCTTCAGTATTTCAAATCATGAGAAATTGTTGTTTTTATCTTAATAATTTTAGTCCTCGGAAAATTCAATTTTTCAACGAGATAAGAATCAAGAAAGAGAAAGAGCCGCAAAATTTTTATTATATTATTTTGTTCTTCATCGATTAAGACCATCTTTGGATTGCGCAAATCTTGGGTGGATGATATGGAAAAAGTAAAAAGAAAAGAGGAATGGTAAGATCGATGATGATGATAAGGGTGATTTTCTGAGCGCACTGTCAAATCATTTGCTTACAAAAAGTTTTATTCATTAACGTAATCAACCTATTTGTGAGCAAATGGATATTTGTATAAATTTCAAATTTTGATATCTGTATGGAAATTCTAAGCAATTAAAACAAGGGAGAATGTAATTTTTAAATCATTGATATTTCTTCTGAAACTTTCAGATGATAAAGCTAAACAACATTTGAACGTGTTAAATAAAAACGATTTGTTAGTTTTTATTATGATAATTAATTTAATAATTAGTAAAATCTAAGACAATTATTGACCTTCAAGAAACAGTTTAAAGAAATTTCAGGTGAAATTAAAAAGGAGTACAATATATTGGTTCTCTTAAGCCAACTTTCCGAACGCTGCCAGTATTTGCGATTGCATTTTCCGATTGAAATATGTTAATAAGAGTAGTAACTCTCCCCTTATTTTTTTTGTTTGATTCAGTTTTCCCAATAAAATTAGTTGTTATCATCTTAAGATCAGTGATGATCCATTTCTAGAATTGCGCAATTGATGTGACTAAACTTCAGCATTCATCCATTACTCCTTATTTAAGTGCTCTCATATATTTGGAACGCTTTCAGTCTATATACCTTTCAAATCATTTTTTATTTTTTATTTAAAATCCTTGAATTTAGGATAGTTTGTGCTATCCTAAAATGAAAATTTTCATGTTCTTAACAACTCAAAATTGAACTCAAAAATAAATTTGAAATGAAAATTTAAATGTCAATTGGTTTTAGATTTGAAATGCGTCCAGACAGAATGTATTCATGCAAATTCTCACTTGCCGAGCATTGAATATTACGAAATTTAAAAAAAAAAGACACGGAAGCAAACGAGTAATTTCATTTAAAACTTGTAAAAATATAATGTGAGGAACAAAATTTCGATTCTATCGATTGCTACAATGATGAATGTGATTTATTAAACAATAAAGCCGCTAAATGACAACAATACTTTATAGGTCGTTAGCTTATATCGTCAGAGATATTTGTGAAGAAAGTGATTTGACGATGATTATATTCGAGATTTGTTGAATTTAGTATGTCCTGCTCTCACTTCATTCTACTTCATATTGCTGTTATTTCGATTGCACTAATAGCAATGCCTTTGCTTACATTTTCTATACGAAGGATTTTGCTATCGATTACAAATATTTGTTCTAATCTGCTGATACTATTTATTTATTTGCATGCAGGTAAGATATTTGTTTGATAATGATAGCTTAATCTTACTCATACTGCAATTCAGCAGCACTCGATTTTTTTTTTGTATGATTCATCCAAAAACGTCTTTGCAGTGTAATCGTGCAAAATAAAGTTTGTTAATTCAACCATCTCGTACACATATATTCAAATTAGCTAGTCAAAATTAATAATTTTTTATTCATTAATAATTGCATGGTCCGCTCTACATATACTAATTAATGCTTCAAGCAAATCTTTGATAAAAGATTGCGCATCATGGATAAAAGATGAAAAGTAAGTTAATACTCCGAATTGAGCAAACTAGAACAGAGTTATTGAATATCGATTCTGGAGTAATTGGTAAAATATGACAAAGGAAATTATTGGGGAAATTTTCGTGAGAAGATCCTCAATAAACTTCTGGGTTTGCTGAAAAGACTCAAAAACTAACAATTTTCAATAACGCAAAATATATTTTTCGATATTAATCTCAACTTCTAGTAAAAACAGAATTGTTTATAGGGCGAGCGTTCATAATATTTATTTCACACATCTACCATCGGAAACAGTCTGCTTTGGTTATATTTCGAAATTTGGCAAGCCAAGAAGATTCTCGAACAGTAGTTAAACTCATTTGAAAATATCAAAAATTTTTAGTGATAGATAGGAGGAAGTGATAATATAAGCAATTGCAATCTATAGTCTAATGTACTGTACCAAACTTATGATTACTAAAACTTTGTTTATTGTTGTATTCAATGCAAATGTCTTTTATATATATAACATTTTCTCCCGTTCTTGCAACTTAGAAATAATGCTATTCAACAGTTATCTATTTAATACTGGCTAAAAAAATAAATAATTATCAGCTGTCGCAGTTATCATTCGCTTTTTCAAGCTAATCGAAAATGTTCTTTTGGAAAGGAAAGCTATAATAATTTATAAATTCAATTATTTAAAAAACATTTCAAATAGCTAAGAGCAGATCTCACTGTTGTGATGGTATTATTTCTATTAATATTAGAAATGAGTTAGCTTGGATAGCTCTTCGACACTTTTTCACTTTCAGTTGAACCGTTGACGTGTTTGCAGTAACTGTTAATGCGTAAATGTTATTGATTCTCTCGGACTTCTCGGACTAGCGGAGACTGTAACGAGTAGGCTATTTTTTATGTTCAGTTTCAGGACAAATTTTTCATTCCCCTCATTGAAGAAATGTCAAACTGTCATATTCACGAACGTCAATAATGGATCACTAGTCGAAGAGCGAACGACTCTAATCAATTTTGATGAGATGAATGAGTTTTATGTCCAACTTTTTGGTGAGATAATTACTCCTTCCAAGATCAAATGGTGGAAAAACTCAGATGAATCAAAATTCTCTACCTGTAAAAGGATATTATTTTTTGTCAACGTTGTTCTTATGTAAAATTTAAGTTAAAGTTTTATCACTGTATCAGCAAACTGATTATTTCTAACAAACTGCATGTCATTTTTCTACCAATTTTATCAGTATTTTTGTAAGTGTCGATTAATTGAATTGTTTTGTTTGTTGAAAAAATATAAAAGAACAAATCTATTGAATTCTTCGACACTACTTAAAATTGAAAAAGTCTCTTAATCGCCACGATGATGGGCTACCTGTTGAAAGTAACGTGAATTCATTCCGTTTGTTAAACGGAGACATCGACATTGCTAATCGTTATACCTTTAAATTACATCATCTGTAATGAACAATAAGCAGAGTTAATTACTGCTTCTAATTATTTGTGATGATGTTTATCTGAATGTAATGTGAAGTCCCATTAAAAATGTAAAAATGGTAATAACGTAATTTTGACATTCCAACCGAATCTATTGCTCGTAAATATTTATAAGTATATTAATGCTCCAAATAATTACAGTAGGGAAAGGCCAGAATTCTTTGATTACCATTTACTAAGTATGACAAGTGGGAGGGAATGCAAAAGCTTATTCGTTGACAAAAAGAATTTAACATTTTCGAAACAGTTAGACTTTTTATGGCATAAATAATTTCCCTAATTAGTGTAAAAGTAAGCTAAGCAAGTAATGAAGGGTTTATACAACAATTGAAAATGTTTAACATTTATTATTTATTCAAGAAAAACATTGACATAATTGTTTGGGTTAATCAAAAGTCTTAACACGAAAAATCGGATGGCTATCAGAGCACTTTGTCATTTCTGACGTTTCTAAGAAATTTCCACTTCATCTTTATAGAAATATTCCAAAAACCTTTCGCTTATTTCTGAAGCATAGAAATACTTTTTGAAAAGAGTATATTCCTGCAGCAAATCTTAAATTTAAATATTCATCACAATGAAATTGTATTGTATTCACTTTGAAACTTAATGAATGCTGTAGCATTTACTATTCAAAAGGTCAAAATATGAAATAAGCAGATAAGTAAAACAGAGGAAAATAATTTGCTAACCATAGAAACGCATGAGGAAACGCCTTTGTTTGAAACATTTCGGTTGGATTTACCACGAATACAACGGGTGTACGGTGTATGCTTTGTTGTGAAGGTATTCTCATTCAAAATAAACATTTGAACTGATGAAGTTGTTACTGCTTGTTGCAACATTATAGTCGACTCACTCAAAAATTCCGGAAAAGAAGCTAAAACAAGCAAAAATGATCCATCAGTTTTTAGTATAAGCAGTAAGATAATGAGAAATGTGAATGACTCACTTGTAGCAGAATCCATCTTGATAGCTTTTCGGCCTGCAATTAAAATTATTGGAATCATTTTGCGAGAAAATAAAAAATAATGGAAAAGAAGACAAGAAGTAATAAAAGAAAAAGTAATAAAAACAAAAAATAATGAAAATAAAAAATAATAAAAATAAAAAATAATATAAATAAAAAATAATAAAAAAATAAATATATATATAGAATTAAGGGCATGAACAGATTAAAAAACGATTATGAATTAGGGACGAAAACTTCCTTCTATATGTTAAATTTAATCATTTTAATTTTAAATTAGACACAATGATCAAATTAAGTAATGAAAATCTACTGTTAAAAGCCGGGACAAATCCATAAGCACTATTATTCGTGCGACCGGTGACAAACATGATGTACAGACCATCGGCGTAGAAGAAATGGAAACCGGAGGATATACTGCCGGATGCATAATATAATGAACTATTTAGAAATGGCAGTACGGCAAATGATAAGCTAGTTTCGCCATCAAAAAAAGCGCTTGACATTGCTTTATAGTCTGCTATCACCTGCAAAAATATTTCCCTTTTGGCATTGTTATTATCGAATCCAATGGGAAAGAAAGGAAAAGGAAGATCACGTCATAATATCACGTACCACGTCTGTCAAGTTAGCGTCATACAAAGGTTACCTATCACAGATGGGAGCAGCAGTTAAAATACGGCGAATAATCGTTTCTATCGAAGAGACCTACAGTAACTTGATTACTTTCGCTGGGTACAATAACTGGAATCATGCCGGAAATGAATTGCGAAACAGCAGGTATTTCATGCAAATATCCGCCTTCCTCATAGTTTAGTACTCCAATATTGTATCCACCATAACGAATGACATTTAACATTGTCCTGAACATATGAATTATTGTCAAGCTGTCCTAATGCTGACAGTGCTTATGTCACATTGTTCTAAAATCATTTTCCCACTTTTTCAGCTGCAATTCATTTGACGCAAACATGTGTTATGTTATCGGAGTGATTGATTTTTATCGAAATACATGAAAAATACATTATCAAAACACGGAAGACTTATACTTAGTACTTATTGCGGCAATATTTCCATATTCATCAAATACCATAGGATTAGATGTTTCAACGAAAGTGGATATTAAACGTTTCATCTTGATAACTTTGTTCGAACCATGAATCGAAATTCCCACTGATTCACATTCAACGAATACAGGTGTAAGCATATGGTATTTCCCAGTAAGCAGTGGTACGATGTGATTATCTTTTACTGATAACTTATCGCAGTCTACAATAAAAAATCTAAATCTTTTCCTTCAGATGAAACGAATTTGTTTCTTGAATTATAACTGATTAGAAAATGAATTTTAATTGTAGGATTGCCACAAATTGGTTGGTCTGATCTTCATAATCTACCTCAAAGGCAATAACAAATACATTTCCGATCAATAAATTCATTAATTTCTATTTCTAACAAACCCATCGTTGGCACCGAGCTTGGCATAAAGCATCCAAAATCGAATACATTCGATCCTTTCACTGTTGGCAATCCACGTACTGCAGCAACAATGACGAATGTAAAATTGCTATGAGCCCAAAAAGTAACACTTTCGCCTGATAAACTGAATGCCAGCACCTTATCTACCTGTAATATAATTCTCGATGATTCAGAAAAATTGTGAGCAAGTTTGTGCGGTGTTGGACTCTTCTGGAGATGAAAATTAAATATGCAAATTTATTGCATAACCGAATTCTTTCAACATAGCAACTGCTCCCATAGATGTATTTGTAAAAAAAAGAATAAAACAAACTTGTACAGCATGTTTGTAGGAGCGAGAGGATGCCTTGCGAATCAGATTAATGGTGATTTGTTGATTAAGTTCAGCTTTCACTGGTATGAAATATACCATTGTTGAACCGGACAACGATGATGACGGAAGCGCAAACGCATAGTGATTTCCGGCCATCGATATTGGTAGCACTGCAATTGTTGCGGAATCCTCGACAATATGCTGACAAAAAAGTTAACAGTGTATTTCAGTACAAAATTCATCTAAATGGCAAAAATCTCGAACATTTCTAAAGAATTCAGTTCAAGAAATAATGAAAAAAAACCAAGGAAGCTATCGCGAGCTCCGCTGACATCTACGTTATGTGCTATGAGAGTAATTGGAGTGGTGGAGTGGACAACAATTCGAGCATCTTCGTATAAGTGCAAACCATCGTTGATATTATCCAGAATCACAGAATTATTAAATTTAAACTGAAAACCTGAGTTCGAATTGAAGAATGTTCTGAAAAACACGTGGGACAGCATCTATTTTGATATTTTCGCAAATCTATTTTGATATTTTCG